ACTTTGCATATCATGTCGATATCCATCAGATAGACGATTCGGAGCGATCTATCCACATCCCCTACATTCCTTCAACACACTACTCGTTTCCTTTGACTCAGAGGACAAGCACAGAAACAGAAACGTGGATGGTAATACTCCTATTATCGACTACGATCTCAATGGATTCGAAAACACATATGTCCAACTTATGACAGGTGGTTTCAAGCTCAGGAGTAAGGTAACCAGAAAGTACATCCCTGTATATTCAGATGACATTCTACCTTAGAATCACCTATGTGTGTCCAACAATATATCCCATGAGTTTTCAAAATTTACAATTCTGAATTGCATCCTCCCGATAAGTCTTTTATCACGCATAGTTGTATGGGGCGGAGAAACTTCATCAGGAAAATTTTAGCGCAGGCCGCAATGTCATTCACATTGGAGAGGGTACAAGGGATGATTCGAATGTACGTGGGACAACTCGGAGATGAGAAAGCGTACCCTAATCGATGAGTATGAATTTGACAAATACGGTCGTTGTTTGGACCTGAAGGACAAGCGAGGTGATACCGCAAAAAAAAGAAGATAAGATTGAAGTTGAAACAAAGGCAAATGTTTGATACTCCTACTATTTGGATAAGCGCTAACCATGATTACTACTCGATATAAAGGACTTGTACGGAGAACCACACTAAGGAGAAACTGTTACAACCTTTAGAGAGGCGCATGGTTGGTCATTATTTCGTCACATCTTTGGAACCAATCAAAGATTACTGGTCAAATCTTCAGGCAACAGTAAGTGCATTTATCACACACTACTTACAGTCATTGATATTCAGTACACCGGCGGAGATACAAGCTACACTTCCAGGTTGTAGCTACGAGATTGCCAAGGTTAGGTTTCATAGTCTATTGGACAAAATAGACGTGGCAAATCATCTGCAGGAGATGACACGAGAGAGGAATGCATAAACACAAAGGGCGGAGATGCGAACCGCAGTCAGCAACCTGAAACAGCAGGACACGAAGCTTATTCATAGCAAGCCAGTGAAACATGAAGATATCCCTTCACTCGACGCATTTCAGGATCACGTGCCAATGGAGATCAAGTACATTTAGCCCGCAATACAACAACAGGGACTACAATGGTATGCACAAAACGGATGATTAACTACTGGGGTATCGACTCCTTGTGTCTTTCTAATAGAAACCACGTCCATACAGGAGGTATATGACAACCGACTGTGAAAATTGCACGTAGCACAGAAGAACACAAGAAGTTAATGTGTAGTGTAAAAGACAATTTCATAAAAGAAGAAGATCGAAATAGGAGACTGGCATAATTTTGATATTAGTTTTTATAAGATAAAATAATGAATGGTGCGCATGAGGTAGCTGTAACTACCTAAATATTCTATCTGTGTGTTGTTATACATGTACGGATTTAAAAAAGCTATAAAAAAAGTTGTTTCATAATAGAGGAGTCGTCACCGGTTACTAAATCAAAAAATAAACAAGTGACACTTGGGCGGCCATGCAAGCTTGGAGTCGGGAAATCTGTAAGAGGGGGGACGTGTAGTAAAATCTCGATCGAGGCCATCCATATGAACTGTGATACATACTTGGGAAGTTCTAAGTGAAATATCATCATTTTAATATTCTGATCGGAAAACCTGGTGCATAATTTGCTCACGATATCGGATAAGTTATATCACCGTAAATTTATATTGAAGTGCACATCATTTTTTAAAGGTGACGCACGAGTGTTTACAAACTTTTGATTTCCAGACTATGATAAACGAGCAGAAGAGCGATAATGATAGTGATAGGGACGCTGATGTTGATAATGATGAGAAATTCTTTAATTCGGATTCGTCCGGTAACTTTGAATCTAGTAGTGACTCTGAATCATTGATGACGATTAATTTTAAAACTTCCACTAAAAAACAAATGGTATTGGTGTGTCCGTAAATAAACAAACCCAAAAACATTATTGAGGGGGGTGCACTAATTGGAAATTACAAATTTAAGGAAATTGAAATTTCAAGAATTCAAACCATGATTTGACAGCTTTATCTTACCATATTTTTCGGTCTAAATGACAGTGAGCACGACACCACTCAAGATCAGGATTTAACGTACACATCTACCAGTCCTTACACAATGCTTACGAGGTGGTAAACCCTAACAGATTTGTATTCTGTAACTTCTAGTGGCCGCTTCAATTCCCACACTCCATATAATCCCTACAGAGGTATGCTATACATGTACAATATACCGAATAATGAATCATGGATGTAGATACGCATACCAGCAGTAGTGCAGAATCCTTACGATTGACCACCCAAGATTGTAATGAAATATTGGATGGATTTGAAGAAAATATCAGACAACATCCTGATGTACAGCAGAAATTGTATATAGAAGAATGCAATAGAAAACGCGGTATTAGCATTACCGAAAGGATATGAAGGTGAAAGCTGGTCCACACCCTTAGCTACCTGTGAATGTACAAGATAGAATCACTCAGGCAATCGAAGCTCAGAATAATTTTGGTCGACCCCTCACTGACGATGCGTTGATGAATATAATTCGCTTAGTATATTGGGAACTCAAAAGGTATGATAAATGAGGAAGGCAATTTTTGTGAGGAACCAACAGCAACCGAAGCTGCAATTTCAACACGCAGGACTATAATATACTACGCTGAGTAACATGGTTGGCTGATTGAGAAGGCTGAAATAATGCCTGCGCATTGAGAGTCCGGTGCTGATGAAGAGCCACTCAAGCTCTATTTTGATATATTTCAACGCCAAATCGATAAGCCCAAAATAAGCAATGTCGATCAGATTTTGCAATTCGATGAATGTAGGTTTGGGGCTGAGCTCAAAAGAGCTTCTCGAATTATTAGAGTGGTGAACACACCAGGAAGTAAGCGGGCGCAAACAACAGGGAAGGGTGATATGAGCTGGGCAGGAGTGACGCTTTTTTCCTATTACGTAGGGTACAGAATTGTCGGCGCACATCATTCTCATCAATGAGCCCTCTACAGTAAACGACATGAAGAGAAAGAGGGAGAATATTATCAACGGTATACCCTCAGCGTAGCAGAGAAATCATATGTTATATGGACCAAGGGCGGCTATCAAACATTGGAGAGTTTAAAATACATATTGAAAGAGGTTTCACTGTATTCACGACTTTTGTGTGCGGAGGTGGGCAAAGAGAAAAGCGAGTATACCGATCGATGATAATAGTCTACAGATATTATATATTGTGCATGGATGGAGCATCAATGCACGAAATGAGTGAAAACAGATCGATTCGCATGTGAAGTCGAGAACGGTCTATGGTTTGGCTGGTTCAGCTGATGCACGCAACAAATCTCACACAGATGTTTGATAGAATGGCTTTTCGCAAACTGAAGGGTGTAGGGACGCACATTCTGAAGAAAACGATTGAGCTGGATCTGGAAAGCTATTCCAGGAATGATGTCTTACGTGAATCCTACAAACAAACAACTAAGCAATTTGAACCTTAAAGCGGGTTAACGTCAGATATGTGGAAATATGACACGTTCATGAAGACATTCGACGCGACAGTGAAAACACATCGAAAAGCGTACTCCGTAGAAAGAGTAATGCGAATTTTAGGTCTCACAATGCTCCGACAATTTCGTCCTGAAGTATCTAAGCAATCCTGGGCTCAAGTCGGAGCTTACATCGATCCATCCCTTGCTTCAGGAGTACGACTAGACCCCCATAAAGTCCTCAAACAACCATTTCTTAGAGGAAATACAGCGATTACTATGGATAGAGCAGAAAGAGCCAAACAACAATTACTAACAGTACAAAATACTGTTGCCAACGTTGTTCCAAATTCCGTTGTTGCTTGGTGTCTGACTGAGGGGGAAAATTGTATACAACACGACTTCTCCTCTGAGACACAGAAACAACTGGAGATAAAATTTGATATGATATCAAGTATGGTAAGACCTCCATGGGAATAGCTGCCTTAACCGCTAGTGTTATCGAAGGGTGAGCGCGTTTCAAAGCCCACCAAGAGAAGAAATATAAATACATTCATCGCAATATATTTGACATCAATGTATTACATGAGGAAGAAGCAGCATATGAAAAGCGTGTCGCTGAGGAATCAGAGGTCACCAGAAAGAAAATGGATCGTAAAATCGGATCATGTATGAGGATGGTGAGAGAATAATTTTTTTTTTGAAAATTGTTACCAAACTTTTTAACTACTCGTCAAGTTATGATACATAATTATAAAAGACCTCAGATGGCGAGATTGTTGGAGGGTCTCAAAAAGAATAGTGAGAAATTATTCGATAAGCAGACCAGTACCCAAAAAATCATCGATCGTATGAGTAAGGGTCCAAAGAATTAAGCAGAGCGTCAGCGAAGTTGAGTCTATTTATATAGATGGGAAATTATCTAAATTTCAAGCGATGATTGATCAACTTCAACAGAAAATTGAAAACGTAGAGGTATGTTCATCATCCGATAGCTGAGCTGAAGAATGTACATCACTATATAAAGCGTATGCCCCCCAGAGCGCTATCTATGCAAATATATAAATATATATATAGCCACACACATACATTATTTACATAATGACTATATAAAGGATGCCTGGCGTATACTGCGTAAAGTTCTAAGTCTATCGCTCCTATGTATATTTCAGTTTCTCCAGCCATATGGTTCTTTTTTCGTTGCGTGAATTCCTCTTCCTAGCGCAAACGGAATTCCAAATTTCAATTTCCATAATTTTATGGCCAGGTCATGCCGATGGAGGGACTGGATATTGATGCCTGGCATCATCAGGTATAAATATCGTATCATAGGGCATAGATTTATGCCCAGCCATAAATCAAAACTGACGACATATACTTACAAGAGAAGGAAGCGTCAGGATAGATATAGACAGGATGATACACTGGCCCTTTCAGTGTTACCGCACCAACAGTGCCAACGTTTGTATATTACCAGTTTGATATTATGAGTGAGACAACCGATCCTGGGATCGACTCTTCCACTGGACCGGCTATCAACACTGAAGAACTGGGACCCACAGCGGAGGAATTGACTGCCAAACAGAGGAATCTAGACGATGTATACGAAAGAGAAACAGAGTCCAGCGAAGACGAAGATCGCGAATGCAAACGTCGGAAGACTGTTGATGCCAACACCTTGGCCATCATGGACTATTCTACTAACAGATTCGAAGAAGCCGAGAAACTACGCGACATTCAACGCGCCGAGAAAACGGCTGCCAGCGAGCAAAGACTAAAACTGCTATAAGAACAACTGAAGGTTTTAGCCAACAAATCCGATGTCAGTGAGCGAACCCAATCCGAAGCAGAAGCAACTATTAAATCCCTCATCACTAACCTACCGGACACCATGAAGGAACGCTACAGATGTGTTAATGTAAGATTCGGTCCCTCAAGGCGATATTAACGCCTTAGAATAAATAAACGTGTAGGTAATTTCTAAGTATCGTGAAAATATCAAAGTAAATAAACGAAATAAGACATTTAGTAAAGTTAGGTATGCCTCGTGAAAACAGCAATACTCTGAGGGATTGTGAGGCTGAGACATTGCCTATATATAATCCTCTCAGTACTGTTTCCGCCGAAGGGATTTTATTTAGTGTTTCGTTGTCGCTCTATTAGAAACTATGGTATGTTTCATTGGGGCGAATCCGAGAGACTCATAAAATCCTATGTTTAGAAAAATAAATAAATAAATAAAAATACTCTTGATGTCCTTAGTTATTGTCTTAACCAATAACATG